CCAAACCTTAGCCCCATTTTCCTAAACCCGCCGCCCCTACTCTCCTTATCTGATGAACCCTAATTCCGCCGCCTCTCGAAAATCCCCTAATCCGTTCCTAATGGGATTTTCCTCCCAGTTATTTACCTTTTCAGCATATTTCCTTTATTTGGTGATTCTTTATGGAATAACTTAGTACTTGCCTAAACATGGCAAGTACCCCACTTTGATTCTGTCCTAATCGATCTTCACCTTTTGAATCTGGACGATATTAAGTGCACACACGTTATTTTGTACCGTGTGAGCCCGATTTCCTCGTATCTCGCTGATTAGTACTTAACCCTAAGGTTAGGGTTTTCGGATCCTCTTTTGGTTCGAACCAAAACTGGTTCCAGCCTGGATTTTGAGTATTATCTCGTCATTATTCACCCTATTTTGGGAGAATCTGCCTATTTTTGTTGATTTCTTTTACTTACCCTAATTTAGGGTTTCAGATCTTTTTAATCGAACCGAATCTGGTTTGACTCTATATTTCTTTTGAATAATTTCCTGTCTATGATCATTTTATGTAATATGTGATTCTTTGCCTGTATTTTCTGCCGATTTTGTGTATTTTTACTAAAATTAGGGTTTCAAGTTCTTTCCTTAGTGATTTAAGTGCTTGCTGTTTTAGTGTATGAATCAATTATTTTCCATGTTTATGTTTTAGTTTCTGCACTATTTAAACCCCTCCCCGCTCCATTTGAAAGAGGTACAGAAGTTCTGACTTCGAAAATCTTTCACTATTATAACAAAAGTTGTATGCTCCTACTCTTTTGAATAATCTTGTTCCATATTTTGATTCCTGGCCGGCTGAAAGACAAGGCCAGAAATCCCCAAGTTCTTGCTTCTGTCTGGTGATATTCACTATATTGTTGGATTCTGTTATTCCCTGTTTCATCTCAACCGGTGATTTATTAGACTCTCTACCATTTCATTATGATTATTTGCTCAATGTGTCATTACGTGTTATCCTAAATGCTATTACTTGTAGTTTGTGACATGTTTTGAACCTTATTTTGAATTGATTAAGAAATCCTGCTTAACTTTATGTTATTGATAACTATCTCTCGAAGTTAATTTATGAACCTGCTTGTAAGTATGATCTTATGCCTTTCTTGTGGATTGATTAACTAGGTATAGATGTCTTCCTTAATAGTATAACAACTCTGCTTTGAGTACATTATAATGTGGCCTGTTTAACTCTGTTCTTACTGTGTTATGATACCTCTAGTAATTGCCTTAATCAGTTTTAACATGCCCTGACCTATTGCTGATTAATGTGATTCCTTCCTATGATACTAGTGTTTGTACTCAGTCTAATAGGGACTCCCTGTGATCACTATGAATCTGCTTATGAACTTGCCTTATTAGTATGTGACTGAGTCTAATTCCTAAAAATTTGATTAGGAATGCTTAGGTTCCAACATGGCTACTACTAATTATTTGTATATGTTCAATATGTGATTCTGTCCTTAAGTGGATTCCCTAACCCATTCTACTCCCTCCTTTTCCTTTACTATTTGATCCTTTTGAATCCTCATTCTTAGCCGGCTGAAAGCCAAGGCTATTTAGGTTCTGTCATCTGACCTCCCTAGTTTGAGCACTGCTCAGGGTCCATGCGAGACCCTTGTGAACTCTGACACACTAAGACTTGGTTCCTTGTCACGGCCCGGATTTTCCACCCTTGGGATCATGATGGCGCCTACTCTTGAAAACTAGGCAAGCCGACAAATACAATTATATCACATTAATTATTAACCATAACAACATTTAAATAATAACTAAATCCAAACAGAGATAAAGTACGGAAGTATTATAACAGTTCAACAATTCTAATACATGACTACCCCAATGATCTTGTGTCACAATTCACAAACGTCTAAGAAGTTCTACAAATACTGGTTTAAAAGAATTACCGCTGTTCTCGAAATGGAAAGAGACAGAAAATCCAAAATAGAGGGAAGGGGACTCCAGGGTATGCGGACGCCGGCAGATCTACCTTGGGTCTCCCGTGGACTGAATGCAGCAACCCAAACTCTACTCACGAGGTCTGGCACCGAAATCTGCATAGGAAGTGCAGAGTGCAATATTAGTACAACTGACCCTATGTACTGGTAAGTGTCGAGCCTAACCTTGGCGAAGTAGTGACGAGGCTAGGACACGACATCAATATAAACCTGTGTAGTTAAATCATATACGAGAAAACATTATAATAGAAATTTAATAGGTAAAGACGGGAAAGGGAAATGGAGAATCACCAGTATAAGCATGAACACTAACGTCGCACTCAACACTAACACGTAGCAAATAAGACAACAACACCTATACGTCGTACTCAACACTAACACGTCACCACACCTATACTCGTCACCACACATAATACGTCGTATAGGTGTTGTTGTCTTATTTGCTACGTGTTAGTGTTGAGTACGACGTATAGGTGTGGTGACGAATATAGGTGTTAGTGTTCTCGAAATGTATTGTTCATGCTTAAACTCACCCGAGCCCTCGGGGCTCCAAACCAAGCATGCATATAAGTCTAAAAATATCATACGGACTTGCTCGTGCGATCAAATCTCCAAAATAACTTCTTAAACAACGAATTTAACACCAAAACTCATGAAATTCCCAAGATAGTTCAAAATTTCTATTTTCTCAACCAAGGGTCCGAATTACATCAAATCACTTTTGATTCTCACCAAATTTCACAGATACGACTTAAATACCATATCAAACCTGTACCGGGCTCCAGAACCAAAATATGGGCCCGATACAAGTAAGATCACACACGATTCCATTTCTAAAAATTCTTATATTTTCCAGCAAATAATTTTCTTCAAAAATTTATTTCTAGGGCTAGGGACCTCGGAATTTGATTCCTGGCATACGCCCAAGTCCCATATTTCACTACGGACCCTACGGGACCGTCAAATTACGGGTCCAGGTCTGTTTACCAAAAATATTGACCGAGGTCAACTTTATTGAATTTAAAAGGCAAAATTCAATATTTTCCCCAGATTTCACATAAAGGCTTTCTGGAAACGCGCTGGGACTGTGCACACAAATCGAAGATTCTAAAATAAAAGATGACCCCTTGGATCATCACATCCCTAGTCTTTCCTTGACCTGTTTTTGACCAATCTCTCTAGTGTGAGCACTGCCCTGGGTTCTTGAAGCCCTCGGTAACTCTGACACACTAGGGATGTGGGCTCTGTATGCTCAACATTTATATATGGGTGAATTACTCAACAACTGGTTATTTTTGTATCTATGAATATGGATTTTGGTGCTATTGTGAGTTGAAGGCCTGGCATGTCCAGGTGTATTTGGGCCAGCTGTAGGCTCCCTATAGTTTACTCACTTTGTAATTCATTATATTAATTTCTGGTCTGTAATAATTATTTTGTAATAATAATTCTGGGGTGTTAAGTGAAATTGGGAAGGGTTTTGTATTTTTTCAATAAAAGTTGAGTAGAAATCCTGCCTATAGGTCAAACAATGTGTTATTATATGTAATGTGATAGAAATCCTGCCTGTAGGTCTAACAGTGTGCTATTATATGTCATGTACTAGAAGTGATGCCTATAGGTACCTTATTATGTTTAATCATCCTATATGGGAAACCATGCCTATAGACTTAATGCTTGGTTCTGTTATGTTTTGCTAGAAACCATGCCTATAGGAAATGGTGTGATCCAATATGTGTGCAAAATGCCTGTTTACATACCGTTCTGTTTAAAAGAGATCATGCCTATAGGATCTAAAACTGGATCAAATTGTAGAGATCATGCCTATAGGATCTAAAATTGGACCAAATTGTAGAATGCACGTTTACAGGCCCGAATTTGTTTAATTATCAGTTCTGCCCGAGTTTCCAAATATTGCGCGGTTACCCTCACTAGAAAATATGCCTATAGGATTCAAACAAACAATTCTGGATCTGTTTCTGTGACCTGCCACTGTCTACTATCGCATAAACACCTAGATACCATGCTAATATGCTTAATCGTATTATGCTAAAATCAATAGGCAAACCTATGTAGGTTCTACTTATCCTATTAAGAAACTGATTTTGTTTGTTACTTCAGTGTCACATAGATATCCTGCCTATAGGATTCTGAAATTAATAAAATTTGTCAATGTTAACTAAATTGGCGTGCATTTGATGTCTAAATGCGGAGGCTAACTGGAGCCTATACTTGTTTCTATTTGAAAGTCCTAACTGTTTTGTCTATTGCTTAGTATTTTTATCTTCTAAGCAACCTAAGTTAAGGTCTAGAACCACCATCAAATAGAGGTCCAAATGCCTCCTGGACCATAGGCATGGGACACGTAGTGCACGACTTAGAATTGACTAGTACGCTTCAGGTAAACAACTTAAAGATAGTAACTGGGTAGCAGGAGATGATATTTTGTGCCCGCTGAATAATATGAGTAACATACCATCTCGAGGGAGTTACGAAATATTATTTACACTACAAGAATATTGGCCTTTAGCGACGGGAAATATGGTCGTTAAAAGTCCAATTCCGGTCGCTATAAGTCAATAACGACCGAGAAAATTCTGGTCGTCACCGGTCGTTAAAAGCCCCGACGCTAAAAGTTAACGAACGATCGATTTTCAACCCGGTCGTTAAAGATCCTTTAGCGACGGCATAATTTCCGGTCGTTATACATCATTTTTAGCGACGAGATTTTTTCCTCGCTAATTTGTCATCCAGTCGTTAAAAGTCTTCAATTACAACAGCTAACTTGGTCCTTACAAGTGCTTTTAGCGGCCGAAAGTTCTTTCCTTAATTGTATGATTATATTTAACAGCCAAATTTTCATTCGTTAATGCCTATTAAACTATTTGAGAAATCTATTTTTAAAGAGTTACGATGATCACATTACCAAAATTTATATTTGACGAAATTTCATACACAGACCAGAAACATTTGAAAATAAACCAAATAATTGATATTTGTTAATACAAAGAACTAAGCATCACATTACCAGAAAGCAATCCAAATAGTATAACATTATTTTTAACAATTTCTAAAAGAAATAAAATAAAATTGGAGCATATGTACAAAAGACACTGCCTTCAAACCATCCCTAACATAACAAAATTCTCTTGTTCTTCAACTTGCTATGCACTTTCATCAAAAATAGGTTCTTCGGACTTCAAGTTTTTGATCTGTTAAAATAATAAATTTATGTCAGTTTACTAACAAAGAATAAACAATTAAAGAAGAAGATAAGATTCATTAAAGGCTACACTGATCGCCATAGTAAAATTATTCAATCATCAGATGACATAACAATAGAAAATATTGTAGCAGAAAAATGACGCATTATATTTCCTATGTCCGTGGACAATAAAAATCACACAATCCTAGTCATACTAAAATCTGCACAACGAAATGTCATATTCTGGGAAGTAAATCCAATATACAGTTTCATGCAATTCTACACATAACGGGGACAAGCGATTGAGATACAAAAATCATATAGAAACTTTTGAGAAAGAGTCGATAATAACTCCAAATCAAGTCTCAATGAAAAACGAGTGATTACTTGTTCATATACTAAACTTTCCTTTACAACTCACCTTTTGGTTCTACTTTGAGGTCCGTTATTTTATCACTTCTCTGTTCATTGAGCTAGATTATAACAATTCTAGTTGATATTGGGTATGGAACTTTATTCTTGCTTACAAATTCACTAGTCTCGATAACTATATTTTAATTTAAATTCATAAACCTTAATGATGGAAAAAAATTCACATGATCATTGCAACAATTTCATCACATAGTATAATATTAATGGGATCTAGCACACATCTGTATGCAACTTCTAGCACACGTCAGATGTATAGTATAGAAGTATACAGTATAATAGATCAACTTTTCAATTAAATATATGAGAGGAAACACACTTTTGATAATTATAAGCTCTTCGCACTACCTGAGTGGAGTCCAAAACAATGCCAACCCAAAATTATCTATATGCCATTTAGTACCATTTTTGAAAGAAGCTGTAGTGTAATAATATCTATTAGGGTGTCATTTTTTTTGCGTTTTTAGCAGAAAAATGACACATTACATTTCCTATGTCCGCGACAATAATCTGAAGATTGAATAGAATTATATGTAATTCTATACATAACAGGGACAAGCGGTTGATATACAAAAATCACACAATCTTGTCATACTTAAACCTGCACAATGAAGTATCATTTTCTAGGAAGCAAACCTTATATAGAGTTTCATTACACATAACAGGGACAAGCGATTGATATACAAATCATAAAGAAGCTTTTGAGAAAGAGTCGATTATGACTTTAAATCAAGCCTCAATGAAGAACCAGTGATTACTTGTTCATATACCAAACTTTTCTTTGCAACTTACCTTTTAGTTCTGCTTTGAGGTCTATTATTTCGTGAGTTATCTATTCATTGAGCTAGATTACGACAACTGTAGGTGATATTTGGTATGGAACTTGATTCTTACTTATAAATTCACTTGTCTTGATGACTATGTTTTTGTTAAATTAATAAACCTTAATGTGATGGAATGGAATGTAACCTTAATGTAATGTAATGGTGATATTTATCAATTAGCTGGAGTTGTTGCTGTTGAAGTTACTGGAGGATATGATGTTCCCTTTCACCCTGGTAGAGAAGTTACTAAGACCGCCTCTGCTGCTTTTAGCAATTTTATTAGATATGTGTAATGTTCTTAGTGAAATATTGTCCTATTGGTATTGCTTAACTAAGAAATTATGATATGCATATGCTTTACTAGTTTGTGTAAATAACTTCCCGCATTGAATTCTAGTTTGATGATTGCTATACTTCATCTTTCTTTTCCTGCTCTATCAACATATACTTAGTTACGGATCTATTTGTTTCTGAGCCGAGGGTCTTCCGGAAATAACCTTTCTATCCCTCCGGGGTAGGGGTAAGGTCTGCGTACACTCTACCCCCAGACCCCAATAATGGAATTCTACTGGGTTGTTGTTGTTTGATGTAATGGAAAAAATTCACATGAGCATTGCAACAAATTATCACAGAGTATAATAGGATTTTCAATCTACTAACCTGTTAAATGCTTCAATCTATTGTTCACTTCAAGATGACGATGAAGCCTGATTAAAGTCATTAAACACTGCACTTGCAAATTCTGCATATTTACTCTCTAGATCTTCACATGTATTCTCTAGCCCTTCCATGCGTCCATAAAGCGATTCATTTTCTTTTTCAGTAGCATTCAGCTTCTCTAGCAATGCAGCCTTCGAGGAGTCACCACGTTTTAACTCCTTAGCAGTAATCCCACCACAAAATCCAACTACATGACTCCTACGTTGAGGTCCGAAACACCTTTCTACAATCTCAATATTTGTAAGAGACGATTCAGATTGCACCAATTCTTGGATCTTAGCCTATAAATTATAAGACAATTTAAAATAATATAACATAAAAAATAAAATTATGTAAAATAAAATTAATCAATAAACATACATATTTTTCATTGGTTTCAGGTTCGACAAGCTTGTCGCCTTTGATACGAGTCTCAAAGAAGATAGTTGTCATATCTGGGGGATTACCATCTTTGCCTCCCTTCACATTTAAATAAATAAGTCACAGAATCTTTTTAACAAAGATGAAAGATGAGGTTTCTTAATAGAAATTGCAATATTTACTCACCAATTCATAAATGACCTCTCGAATAGGCTTACTACCCGTACGATGAGTCATCCTTAACTTAGACCTATTGATCGAGTTTCTTGTACTTATTTCCTAAATTAACAATGCGCCATTAAAATTTTGATCAGCCACTTAATATAAAAAGATTTTAATAAATAGTTATGAAACCTTACCTTAAAATTTTTCAGTTAAAAAATGCTCTTGACCAGCCATTCTCAATCACTCTTGTCTACCCCTTCAGAACATCTCTTAAACCATCGCGGAATGACATAGCCCCTCAGCTCAAAAAGATGAAAAGCAACAATAGAAACAAGCATTATCAATCATAAAGGCAAGAAAGAAAGTAATATTAAGAAGGAAGCAATAGCAACAAGCAGTAACATCGGCCATTTTAAGATACAGAGATGTCATATTAATATCCCCAAAATAGTCCTAGCTGCAGAATTATACAGGTTACTAAATTTCTAATATGCCTTCAAAAGGCTGTAATAATTCTAGTGAAAGCAAAGAGAGGTTCACCATATAAATGGTGCTTATATGAAAGCAAAATTTGTGTGATTACTTTGCATACGCCTTGTTGTAAAATAATTTTGGTCAATCCAAAAACTTGCAAATGAAATTCCATAACAAAGTAGTATTTTCATATATAAAGGCAGTGGTTGCATTTAGATTTTGACATATGATTAGAAGCCTCCAAAGACCTTAGCCCCCTGTACCCAGTGTCCTCTATTCAAATGAAAAGGGGAAAACAAGTAAAGAGTTGTCCAGTGCTAGCTTGTTTTATAGTATTACACAAGGCTGATAAACAAGTCAATTGATTTACTTTATTGTTTTTCCGGAGAGAAAAAAGGATTATTGTTCATATAGCAAACCCACCCCACAAAATGCATTGAAGAAAAGAACAAATAAATAAACAGGGAAACATTGTTCATATTCGAACCTGATCAGAGAACAAGCTTTAAGAAAGGTTCTGAAAAAAAGCTTTGGAATTGACAACTCTAATTATTTACGCATCTAACTGAACGGAGTAGTTATTTTTCAGAAATAAAAAAAAAAAAGTTTCGACAAGTTCACTACATTCAAGAACTGCAGACAAGTACAAAAATTTAACAAATTTATAACCTTTGTGTTGTACTAAGCATTCACGAACTACAGAATAGTATAGAGTCACAATTCACTAAGCATAAACTTCAGGCAACATTCCTTCACCATATGTAATCGGAAGACCATCATTAAGATAGCCAAGAAGAAAGTCGTTGATAAGCATAAACTTCAGGCATCTCAACAACTAATTTTCTTATTTATTGTTTTAACAACAAGATAGTCTGTATGGCTTCTTAACTTAAAGAAGCCATGTGCTAAGAACAGTACAAATCCAGAAGCCACCTGATCTGCAGACCATTGTTCTTTATAGGATAGGATGAGACTTCAAAATAATGGAACCCCTCAACTAAACTTGCAATTCTAGAGTTAACTACAATTGCCCATTCCACGCATCTAATGTCTAAATTACATTTAATGGGTGAGACGGAAAGAGGGGATAGCAGTAAGTAAGGAGAGCAAACTGAAGAAAGGGTCCTCTTTCTTCATTTTCAGAAGAGACTGACGGGCAGTCCAAAAGTCTACCAAAGTGTCTACAAAATGTCTGGTAGTATGAAGAGCACATGTTTCTCTTGTTCCATGCCCTCTGCCATTGGCATAGGATCGAGGATTAATATAATAAAGTTCAATTAGGAAGGTGAAAAATTCCATACTACTAAATTCTTTAAACAATGACAACTAGCCAAATATTGGAGATTTATAATTTCCTTCTACAAAAAAGAAAACCCAATTAAGGTAATTATATTGCCCTTTTCCTTCAATAGATAGGAAAACCAAATATGGTAAGAAAATTATGACAAACACCTAACATGAGCTTCTAGAAGCAACATTCTTTAAAAATAAGGGAGATAACAAAACCAATTTCATTCATTTAGAATTAAACTCATAATATAAATGAAAATAACTTGAAGTGTATACTTCAAGAAGAGTCATGGGTTTTGTCAAGTAGAAGAGGAAAGTCGTCTATCTCTGTCTTCACTGTACAATTGCAATTGAAATTTGAATATGGTAAAATTAACCAATCAATGCATGATGTAAGCTCACAGTATTTCCTTTCCATTTTTGAAAGAAGAAATGAAGAAGGCAAATCGACAAAGTAAAACTTTAAATTCTTACCGTAACAACTTGTCACATGTGCTCCAGCTTATATTTCGATTTCCGCCCATGAGTGTATGCGCAATGGGCACATTTTTCGATCACGAACTAATTTACCTAAGTTTCTCGTAAGTAAGGCATGATTCTTCCCAACAACTCGATTGTCGTAAAAAGTGACTCAACTTTTCTCCAGCTTTGAGTCCTGTAACATTTTTACATCTGTTCTTCGCTCTCATTTTGTTTGCCTTTTTTAGATTCATATGGCCTTGTTAATCTCAATTAAGTCTAACATATAAAAAAAAAATCCAGAACAATAACAAACAATAACAAATTATAACATAAAACAATAATATACTTATTTCGCTTCTCTGAATATCTTGCATCGCTTCTTCATGAGGGAGGGAAGCATCGCATTCCAATATTGGATCAAAACCAGGAGGCATGAGACGATCTTTCTGAGCTAGCTTATTCTGATCAGAAGCTACTACATTGTAGTTTTTACCTTTGCCAATCGAAGTTCTCTGTTCAGCATATATTCTTACAGAACCCAAAGCTCTGAAGTTTTTCCCCTGTCCCCTTGCTAAGGCACCAGGTGGAACGTATGCATATTTAACAGTCTTCGAAGTTGATACCATTTCAGACTTCTAAGATTTTGAGAGATTCATGTCAACCTAGAATAAAGAAAAAGATTTAGTAATAAATATCTATTTCAATTTCATCATATATGAACATGTGAAGGTGTTGGAAAAAAGCTAGAAACTTAGATGACAATAGAAAACAATAATGAATAAAATTGATAGAAACATAACACATGAAAACTTAGAGATGACAAATATTTAGCGAGTCAATTTCATGAGATATGAACATACAATCTGCAAAGAAGAAATCAACTAATGGAGTTTTAGAAACTTTTTTTCTTTCCTGCAACTTAACTTGTAAATAAAATGGTTTCTAGTATGGAACTTTCATTATAACAAAAGAGGTAAAAATTAAAAGCAGATGTGATAGAACTCCAAACTTTCATGAGTTCTTTTCCTTTTCAGTTGTAAAGAATTATTTAACTACTCTAAGTCATCACTATTCTTTAAAATCTCCATTTCAATAACTTTTCTCTATAAAATACACAACCTCTATGGTAAAAGATCATCGCCAGACAATATAGAGCACCTAAATTTAGCAGCATAAAAACTATTTAAAATCTACAGTCAACCCATAACTGTTTTGGAAGTTTTGTTTATAAGAAATTCGCCAATTTAGCATAATCTAGTAAGAAGCAACAGTTGCTCTGTATACCAATATGTTCTGTTTTAAAGTCAAACCCGATCCCTAAAACAATATGTTCTCCAAACCGATTGATCAGTTATGCTATTAAAAAGAATCTTCTTTCTTTCAAAATCAAACTCAATCCCCAAATATAATCTTCTCTACAAGATGAATACACATATTTGACATATAAGATAAATAAGAACAAAATTTAAAGAAACAGAAAAAACTTTTATAAGCAATACTCTTAAAATTTGGATGGTAATTATATATTGAAAAATATGTAATTATTACAAAATTCACCACTTTCTTGTTAGATTAATATAATTTTGGTCAAGACCCTTCAGCTATATCTAGAAATTTGTGTTAGTGTTTTGCTTTCTCTGTTTGTGCAAACTTATTACGCAATTGGAGTTAGAATTTTGAGGGACAAGTTTCCCCTCTTTTCCACATATCCCACGTCATTAATTGATGTTCGTTCTTTCTTTCTTCAGTGCAACCTTAAACCCCTACTCCCTCTTCCTTTTTATTGTGTGTTCCTTCCTCTCTCTATCAAATATTTGGTAAACAGATACATAGAATTGAATGGAAAGTTTAGAGCTTACCTTGACAAGAAGGAGAATAAAGCCCTAGGTTGCAGAGAAGAATCCAACTTTTACAGATCTTCAATCGCTCTTGTTCTTGTATTCTTGTAACTGCAAGTTCTCTGTTGTCTACTGATAAAACAGAGAAGTGTTTTGTTTGGGATGGGTAGAGAGGAGAGTTGAGGGGATGCGTGGGCTTGGGTACTGGGTTGAGTAAAAAAAAAAAGGGGGGGGGGGAATGTGGCGCCTATTTATTTGTGTTATTGCTTAAAATCTATTTTAACGTCTGAATTATTTTAATTTTAACGACCGGAAATCATCCCCTCGTAAATATTAACCAAAAATTACACTTTAACAATCGGAAAAAAGTTTGGCCATTATAGATACACTTTTAACGATCGGATTCATGTTCCTTCGCTAGCATTTTGTAGTTAAAAGTCAATATTCTTGTAGTGTTATGTTGCACGGGGTGATCCTTTAGGTTAAAAAACTTAGGACCCCTCCCTTTGTCTTTCAATTATTCATTCACGTTTAGTAATTCCTTGTTTCTTAGCTTTGATCACATAGACTAATTCATATAATTGAGTTCGGCTGGGACCCACAGTTGTGCACCTCGAAGAGCGCCTAACACGTTCTTCTCGAGGTAATTTCGAGCCCTTACCCGATCTTTGGTGATGTAAACTGGTCAAACAAAGTTATTTGCAAATAGGTTCCCTAACATACCTTAATCCGTTAGGTGACGACTCTCTCTAAAAGAGTTGTCACGTGTTGAAACCCGATTTTGCGAGAAAAAGGGGCGCGACAGCATGGCGACTCTGCTGGAGATTTTTAGGCTCTTACCATTATGAACTTGATCTTTGTGAATTAGTCTTCCCTGATAAGCGTGTTTTTGTTATTTTGCTGTTACCTAAATCTCCCGCTCCCATTTTCCCTTTTTATTGCTACATGCACATCATTTTTCCTATTTTCCTTTATATGAGCTCATATGCAACTCTTCGTTTAATTTGATTAGAACGCACGTTTCCCCTTATTTTCTAATCATGTTCACTTGCTCCAAACTTTTAACTTTGCTATATCATGTCTCTCCCCAATCCTTACCTCTTTATTTGCTTTATTACAATTCTTTCATTACGTGAACTAACTTCTTCCTTGTTTTCCTTTCTTCATGTCTTTAATTTATTCGATACTGCATTTTACTGCTTTCAACATTCAAAAATATTTGACAACGTGTTATTTTATCTTTGCATAAAGCATGTTCCGCATCATATTCCACTCGTGCGTATTAATACCATAGCGGCACTTGATGAGTGTCTGCGCTCTTCCTAAAATCACCCTTTAAATTTGGAAATGCTTATTTGCGGTAAAACTAGTCGATCATGAGCTCTTCCTAAAATCACCCTTAAATTTGGAAATGCTTATTTGCGGTAAAACTAGTCGATCAGCGGTGCAATCGACGGTTACATGCCTTTCCCTCTCAAGTTGTCCACTTGAGGGTACCAGTCTAGACTCTCCTAGAAACTCCATTCTAAAATCAACTGTGCATGCATCATGTCTAAACCCAGTATGAGTTTGAACGCTGTCCGCGTAATAACTTGCTAAGACAAACCTTGTCCAAAGTCCATCGGGATTTCCATAATCCCAATGGGCACAATCACGATATGTGAATTATTTGGAGAAAACATGCCAATATGTTGATCATTAACGTGTAAATAGCTGAATTTGGAGGGGGCAAGGGCTAACTTTTTTGTTTGCAGAAAATGAAGCATGAAGATCCCAATTTTGGCATGGTCCAAAATATCCCACCACTGCTACTGGATTGGTGAAAAATCTATTGTTGGATATGCGCGACTTGGGGAATCTGATCGATGGAGCAAAGAAGGCCAAGCATGGAGAAGGTCCCTCTGGGACCAAATAGATTAGGAATTATATTTTACTTGCTTTCTAGACCCGCTTTGGGCTTTGGTTGTAATAAGGCACATGCCATTATTGACTCTTTATCATTATTTTCGTTTTAGTAGGGATTCGGTTTATTTATCGCATTAATGAAATGACGCAGTTATTGGCATCAATTTTCTCCAAATCTATATGTCGCTTAGGCCTACCTCGGGCACAATGAGGTCCCCAAATTAGGACGCGAATTCATAATTCCACAATACATGTTTAAATACCACAAACAGCCTTTTAATACTCCTCACTAACTTGTTTACCTTTTTGTTTTCTTCTTTTCTTGATTTGTTTATTCCCATCCCCTAAGGTTGGTCTGTGCATACTAGCATCGTCAGCATATCATACCAGATCAAGAGGTCCTCCACCTCCTCCTCCTCCAAACGATCCTAAAAGAAAAGGAAATTCCAGAATGGATGATACAAGCAATATCAGGAAAGACAAATGCTACACATAAAGAGTATGTCGAAACTTCAGATGGTCGAAGCACTCCAGCACAGAATGACTTGGTTTTGCGGTTGGAACAAAAGATATTGGAGTTACAAGGGGAACTTGAGCAGGTCTAGAACTTGGCAAACCTTTCCCTTACCCTGAACCTCCCCGACATCAACCTACAAAACACCAAAAACCCAGCACCTCCCTAAAATACACCAAACTAGCATCCACAAAATCCTCTCGCACCTCACCAATATGCCACACCTCCTCAAAATCCCAATCCGCCACCAGTACCAACTCCTCCACAACATCATCATCAGCCAACCTAGTATCAACAAACCACTACCTATCACACTCCTCTGAATGCACCCCAACCTATCCCTGATCCTCAAAACTCAA